TGCCATGGGCCGTGCCGGCAGATATTTACTGAACTCTGGAAAACTTCGCGGCCCAGGGGCGTGAAGTCCGGGGCAGACGTGGGGAGGTGCTCCCTGCAGGCCCCTGGGCAGAGGCAGCCGGGTCCTCCGGGCCTCCGGGAGGAGCCTGCAGGGGGGATGCCCTTGTGGTTTCCCTCCGCCCCCTCCAGAGCCCGGTGAGAACAGACATCCCGCCTCCTTCCCTGGTGGGTGGAGCGGGGCCGAGCCCAGAGGGCTCTGGAGTGTTTGTGCGGCGGGCAGGGTGGGCGCAGGGGCCCCGGGGCTCCCACCCAGAGGGCACGGCCGTGGGAGAAAACCAGCTCTGGGCATTGTCATTCCCAGCGACCCGGCGCGCGCAAACCTCCCGTCTCAGGGGGAAGGACAGGTTAGCTGTGGGGCGCCGTTTGACCTCATTAGTGGTAATGGGTAGCTTGGTGAGAAATGAACGTTGTGGAAAATCTGGAAATAAATAGCCGCGGTGCCACCTTCCTGCCGTCCAGCGCTTTGTACCGTTAAAAGCTCGTTCGCGCTGTTCCCTCGTTAACCTGTGACTCGGAGGACTTAATCGGCGCCGGCTCTAAATCCTGCGCAAACAGACGCCGCACAGCAATTTCCTGTCTGTTTGCCGTTGGGCTGATCCGCCCAGCGACCGGGGCGCAAGGTGTGCGCCCAGCCCGGTTGCCGATAAGCCCCGGCTCCCGCGAGCAGCCGGGCGTGAGCGTCACATCCCAACGCGCTTCTCGCCCCAGGCCCCCTGCTCCTTCGGAAAGACCACTTGCCTGTGCCCTCAGGAGAAACTATAACTCACGAAGGGCCGCTGCTTCAAACGGACGTTCTGGGGATTCTTTTTGCCACTTTTTAACCAAACGACCTCCTTACCGCCTCAGAGGTTGGGTGTCTGTCTGAGGCCCAGCACGCCTGCACTTTACAAATATTAGCTGCTTCAGTCCTCGCCGCGGGCGAGGATGCGGATGCCTCTGGCACCCTGCAGGTGAGGCACAGAGAGGCCCGGTACTTGGCTGAGGGTCACACAGCGCACGGGCGCTGGGCCAGGCTCTGCCAGGGCCTCTGGGCTCTTAGGGCAGGTGTCACGGCTCACACACCCCGGTCCTGTGGGCCCGGGCGCGGACCAAGTCCACTCGCTCCCTCCTCTCTCTGCACCCACCCTCTCTGGCTTTCATTTCTGTTTTAATGTTTTTCCGTAGGTCAGGACTTAAGTAAATTCGGTATCTAGTTTTGTGGTCAAATAGACATAACTTAAAATTCACCATTTAATGGTTGTTAAGTGTCCGGTACAAGTGACGACGTGACGTGCTGGAGCTCAGGCGGAGTCGCGCGGGGGGCCCGCAGCCCTGCCCAAGGCTGCCCGGCATCGCCGCGAGCTCGCAGTGGCCGGCAGAGGAGCTGGCGTCTACAGTTTGCGCCTCAGTCATCATTGCCCATTAAAATGCAGGGGGCCGTAGCCGGCGCTGCAGGGACCAGCGGGGGCTGGGGGTGGCCCAGCTGGGCGTCGTGTGTGCGTCGGGGCGGCGGGATGTCGGGTGAATGCCAGCGTGCACCCAGTGGGCAGCCCGGGCCAGAAACCCTAAACCAGGAGGTCCAGGCAGAAAACGGAGGGTCTGGAATCCCCCACCGTCAGCCTTACCAGAGTTGACTGAGGGGAGAAAGGACTTGGCTCCCTGAATCCAGTGCCCTCAACCCTGTGCGCCTCACCCAGCCTCCCACACTCCTGTCACGTGCCCCTGGCAGGGGACCTGTGAGCTGGCCACAGCCCAGGGACTTGAATTCAGGGAAAGCGGCCCCGACCTTGGCCAGTGCTGCACCCCTGGCTCTCGCTGCACCCCTGGCTCTCGCTGTACCCATGGCCCATCTGCACCCCTGGCTCTCCCTGCACCCATAGCTGTGCTGCACCATGGCTCTTCCTGCACCCCTGGCTCTCCCTGCACCCATAGCTGTGCTGCACCCCTGGCTCTCCCTGCACCCCTGGCTCTCCCTGCACCCCTGGCTCTCCCTGCACCCGTGGCCCGTCTGCACCCCTGGCTCTCCCTGCACCCGTGGCCCGTCTGCACCCCTGGCTCTCCCTGCACCCGTGGCCCGTCTGCACCCCTGGCTCTCCCTGCACCCGTGGCCCGTCTGCACCCCTGGCTCTCCCTGCACCCGTGGCCCGTCTGCACCCCTGGCTCTCCCTGCACCCGTGGCCCGTCTGCACCCCTGGCTCTCCCTGCACCCGTGGCCCGTCTGCACCCCTGGCTCTCCCTGCACCCGTGGCCCGTCTGCACCCCTGGCTCTCCCTGCACCCGTGGCCCGTCTGCACCCCTGGCTCTCCCTGCACCCGTGGCCCGTCTGCACCCCTGGCTCTCCCTGCACCCGTGGCCCGTCTGCACCCCTGGCTCTCCCTGCACCCGTGGCCCGTCTGCACCCCTGGCTCTCCCTGCACCCGTGGCCCGTCTGCACCCCTGGCTCTCCCTGCACCCGTGGCCCGTCTGCACCCCTGGCTCTCCCTGCACCCGTGGCCCGTCTGCACCCCTGGCTCTCCCTGCACCCGTGGCCCGTCTGCACCCCTGGCTCTCCCTGCACCCGTGGCCCGTCTGCACCCCTGGCTCTCCCTGCACCCGTGGCCCGTCTGCACCCCTGGCTCTCCCTGCACCCGTGGCCCGTCTGCACCCCTGGCTCTCCCTGCACCCGTGGCCCGTCTGCACCCCTGGCTCTCCCTGCACCCGTGGCCCGTCTGCACCCCTGGCTCTCCCTGCACCCGTGGCCCGTCTGCACCCCTGGCTCTCCCTGCACCCGTGGCCCGTCTGCACCCCTGGCTCTCCCTGCACCCGTGGCCCGTCTGCACCCCTGGCTCTCCCTGCACCCGTGGCCCGTCTGCACCCCTGGCTCTCCCTGCACCCGTGGCCCGTCTGCACCCCTGGCTCTCCCTGCACCCGTGGCCCGTCTGCACCCCTGGCTCTCCCTGCACCCGTGGCCCGTCTGCACCCCTGGCTCTCCCTGCACCCGTGGCCCGTCTGCACCCCTGGCTCTCCCTGCACCCGTGGCCCGTCTGCACCCCTGGCTCTCCCTGCACCCGTGGCCCGTCTGCACCCCTGGCTCTCCCTGCACCCGTGGCCCGTCTGCACCCCTGGCTCTCCCTGCACCCGTGGCCCGTCTGCACCCCTGGCTCTCCCTGCACCCGTGGCCCGTCTGCACCCCTGGCTCTCCCTGCACCCATAGCTGTGCTGCACCATGGCTCTCCCTGCACCCCTGGCTCTCCCTGCACCCATAGCTGTGCTGAACCCCTGGCTCTCCCTGCACCCCTGGCTCTCCCTGCACCCATAGCTGTGCTGCACCATGGCTCTCCCTGCACTGTGGCTCTCACTCTTGCAGATGAAGGCCTGTGGGACACATTCGTGAAGGACATTCCCCGGAGCGCCACATCCTACACCGTCGGCCTGGACAGGCTCAGGCCAGGAGTGACCTACGAGTTCCGCGTAGTGGCTGTGAACCAGATGGGCTACGGGGAGCCCAGCAGCCCGTCCACGGCTGTGTCAGGTAGGGCCCCCCCCCCC